TATATATATATAAGAAATTACTAAAGACAGCAATGAAACAATGAAAAGACAGGGAAAGGCCTTGTAGTGGGTTGAATTTGTATCAAATCCCTGGAAGCTGTGAATATTTTTTTTTTTTGGTACCGGAGATCGAACTTGGGTCCTTGCGGTTGCGCAGCAGGTGGCGAAACCACTGAGCTAAATCCCCAGCCCCAAAGCTGTGAATATTATTGCCTTCTTTTCCTAGGGTTGGTGGAACAAAGTACTATAAACTGTGTGTCGTAAAACATTTGATTTCTCATAGTTCAGTTTGTTCCTGCTAGAATCATTGAGGAAAACTGTTCCACGTCTCTCTTAGCTTCTGGTGGTTGCTGAGCATTTACGGTATTCCTTGGCTGGCAGACACAAAAATCCAATTTCTGGTTCCATCTTCACATAGTGTTCTCTGTGTGTCTCTTACCGGTTTTCATGTGACATTCTTTTTTTTTTTTTGGTACCAGGTATCAAACTCAGGACCTTATGCTTTTGAGGTAGGCAGCAACACCACTGAGCTAAATCCCCAGCTCATGTGACATTCTTATAATACCAGTCGCTGAATTTAGTACTTGCCTTAATCCAATATGACCTTATCTTAACTAATTACATCTGCAAACATGTGATTTCCAACTAAGACCAAATTCTGAGACTTCAGTAGATCATGAATCGCTCAGGAACACTATTCAACATAGCAGTTACATAATTTGGACAAAAGGATAATGTAGATCTAATTAATGGATCTTGAGAGGTCATTCTGGATTAGTGGGCATACGTTAAATCCAATGATAGATGTCTTTGTAAGACACACACAGAAGAGGAGGTCAGATCTGATAACAAATGAAGAAACTGGAATGATGTAACCACTAGACAGATACATAGAGAATATGATGTGAAAATAAAAAGAAGACTAGCACTGGAGCCAGAAGCCAAGGAAACTAAGGAAGCAGACAGGCACCAGAAATTGGGGGAGGTATGGCAGATTCTCCTCTACTCCCTTCAGAGGGTGCACGGCTCTGCCAATACCCTGATTTTGCTTTTTTGGGGGTATTTTTACTTTATATTTATTTACACTGACACATAATTGTACAAATTTATGGGGCACAGTGTGTTATTTTGATACCTGTAAACACTGTGTAATGATCACATCAGGGTAATTAACACATCTATGACTTCAAAAATTTATCATTTCTTTGTAGTGAAGCATTCAAAATCTTGTAGTTATTTTGAAATAATTATTTATGAACTAGTCACCCTACTGTGCAACACTTGAGAGAAGAAAATAGAATCAGAATATGTAATTTGACTGACAAAGAAAAAGTCCTGTAATCCTCAAGGTCATTTGCCTTGGTCTAGTAATGGACTCCTCTCTATCTGAACTGTTTGAAGAGTAGGGGGTTTTCTGGAATTAAGAGTTGGAGTTGATGAGTCGTCTTCCTCCGCCTTCATCTGCAGTCAGCAGTTCTTTGGACAGGAAGACATCCCCAAGCACTCTCAAGTGAGTTAGGAAGAACTCAGGCTGGTGTGAGCCTTTTTGTGGACCTCCATACTTCTGCTAACACTTTGATTTTGGACTTGTTTCTCCAGAATTGTGAGGCAACACATTTTACTTATTTGAAGACATGTAGTTTTGGGTATTTGTGGCAGCAGTTGTACCAAACTAATATAGGCCTTAACAGAACAGAACTCACAGTGAACTCTCTTCTAAATAATAAAATGAAAAAAATCTTTTTTGGAGTTAGATTCTGCTCTAAATAGACCACTCCTTAGTAAATACGAATTCGTGAACAGTCATAAAGTTAGGTCAGCTCAATTTCTGTAACGATCTTTTAATACAAAAACATCCCTTCAATGACAGATGGCAGCTGATGATGGAAGGCTAGGGTGTCCATGGGCAGCATAACTCGCAACCCATTTCTGGGGTCAGAGCTCTCTTTTAACCTAGGAAGATACTACAACAAAATACACTGTGAACTATATTTCATATATACTCACTTGTGACTGCCTTATAATTAGCATCAGATTTGACAGTTCATGTGCTTCTTGTTTTTATAAACTGTGTTTCTGCCTCCCTATTAAGTTCTTTTTATCTTGAGATTAACTTTTTTTTTTTTTTTTACATTACATAAAGTGTAAATTACAGGACACTGGGTGTTGTGTAACCTACAAACGATAACACAGCTGCTTAAAGCACCTCAGTTTTTGGATAAAAAGTCATGTCTTCAAGACAAAGCGAAATTAAACAGGGAAACTTACTTGATGTGTCTCTTTCAAGCTTTGAATGAATTTTATTTATTATTTATTATTTATTTATTTTTGGTACCTGGTATCGGTTTAGCATCAACAGTCGCTTCCAAATCTTCCCGAAGTTTCACAATCATTCAAGTGACAGATAGATGCCAGGCTACTTCAAGATGTCACACAGTGTTTTCTTTGCTAGGGTGCATAATGGGGAGGAGATGATGCTCCTCCAGTCGTAAAGGGAGTCCATCAAGAAACTATCACCGTCACTGGTGACCAGGAAACACTTCAAGGAAAACACTAGGGACAGACCTCAGGAGCCCTCGCCCCTCAGAACGGGTCCCCAGTCCCCTCCAGAGTGGTGCTGCTGCTCCGATGGTCAGGTGTGTGTGGGGAGGGGGGACGACGACGGGGGGAGCCAGACCTGGACTCGCGACTGAAGACCCACGTGCAACTTCTTGGGTGGTGACGAGAACGCAGATTCACTCGCCGTCCCCGAAATATAATCTCCACATCCTCGCAGTCCTGTCCGCTCCGGCGCCAGGAGTCGGCCGGGGATGAGGGTCGGTCGAGCTCCCATCCGCAAGCTACCAACCTGGCGAGATTCGGCCCGCCTTCCCGGAGGCAGCGGATGCTGCAAGGCTGGGGAGTGGGCCGGGAGCACAACCTGCAACCCACGCCCGGGGTCAGAGCGCGTCCACTCCGGCGCCCCTTTCCCGCGCCGACCGCAGAAGGCGTCCAGCCCCGCCCGCCGGCGCCGGGAACCCGGAGACGCCGAGTGGTCTTCCCGCCCCGCGCAGCGTCACGCCGGCGACTGGGAGGCACCGTAATGTCCCGAAGAAGAGCGCCTCCAGCGGCAGCCCCGCCGCTGCACCTCCAAGGGAGAAATACCGGTCCCGTCCGCGTGCCACCCCTTCCCGAGAGCTCCTGTCAGGCAGAAGGGAGGATGACGTGCGTGTGTGCTCTAGGGACTCGGCCTGATGTGTCTGAACGTTTGCTGTAAGAGAGACATTTGCTGAGGCGGGGTGGCTGTGATTCCTCACGACCATTCCCCGTCCCTTTATTTCGAAGCGGTGGCAGGTCAGGGCGGAAGGAGGTCTGTTAGTCCTCCTGAGTGGCCATCCTTTGTTACTCAGTCGTCTGCGCTGGCCAGTGTGGCCCGAGTCTCCGTTTCAGATCGTCTGTACTTGAGCGCTGCAGAGCTCTGCGTGTAAGTGCGCGCCTATTAGGCGGCGCGTGGTAGTAATGGCGGCGCTCAGCGAGACTCTCCTGTCACCGGATACTACTACTCCCAGCCCTCCTCTGAGCCGCCGGTGCAGCCCCCTGCTCGTTAGTTTACAAGTGGCAATTTGACTTGTTCTGCTGCCTGTCTGGAGGCACGGAGGAAAGTGTGGAGACGCCCTGGGGATTAAGGCATCGCAGTTTGCAAAGAAAAAAGCCAAACAAATAAACAAAACCCACCCACCCTAGCAAACATGAGGCTGCTGGAGAGAATGAGGAAAGAATGGTTCATGATCGGAATCGTGGTGGTCATCGCCGGAGCCAAGTTGGAGCCGTCCGTGGGAGTGCACGGGGGTAAGAGCCGCGCCTCTGCCGGCTGCGCCGCGGTTCCCACTGAGAAGTAATTCGTGAGTGGGAAGAAAGGTGCGCCTGCTTGGGAAGTGTCTGCTCCTCTCTCTGGCACGGGCCAGCCTGGCGTGTCCCTTTGCTGATTGTCTGATTTACCAGCCCCAGAGAGCACTTGGGATTAGGAATGAGGCGAAGGAATTTGAGCGCGGATTGCCTTTGCTGCGGACAATCAATGCCTATCCTCAGTATCGAGGAGTGAAGTTACAGAGACTGAAACTTAGTCCTCTTGGCTTCCTAGTAGCATCCTACCCCAAGGGACTCTGGGTTGCCAGCACTTTCTTATCTGTGTTGGAAAGTAGATCTTATTCTGTAGTTTATTTCCGACTCCTCCTTGTTTAAAGAAAAAGGTGGAAGGGGGAAAAAAATCAAGAAAAGACTAGATAACCCCACCCCAACTCAGATTCTGTGGCCTACACGGTGAGAGTGATGATGTGCTGTTGCTGGCACCTCTCAAACTCTCAGGCCGACTGACACGTCGCACACTTTCAGTACTGGACTCTACTTCCGTGTGCTGCCGGGATTCAGTTGCTGCCCTAGCCAGCAGTCTAACAGATGCAGACTGCGTTAGACTACGTGTGGTGTGTGTTTTGGCAAGGAGACATAGATGCGCTAAAAACCTCCTTTAATCTCTGAATAGGAGAGCTTTGTAATGTGGCCCGTGGACACTGCTGGGAACACTGGACATGTCATGAGCCCTTTATAACCTCCCTCTCCCACCTTTAGACAGCCTTTCCCTACTTATAAGCGTTAATTTAATCTCTTCAATGTATTCGTCTTTTGACTTTGTCAGTTTCCAAGCTTATTGACAGATTTAATACATAAATCATATAATGGCAGCAAACAAAGAAAAGAATACACACAATCTTTTTATAGTAGGAAGCACTCATGAGCATATTTGAAGTTATTTTTTGAAGTATTTGAAGCATATTTGAAATACCTTTTTGTTAAAACATGATGGAAGTGAATGATCTCTCCCGAGAATAGTTATTCTTTTCTTCCCTTAACCTTCAATTCTTCCATTTAGAATAGTTTCTGGAATCATTTTAAGTAAAGATAGTAGAAATGAAAGCTTTTTGAAAATCTCTTTTTTCTTCTATATTTAATTTAGTGCAAAATGTGTAGACTTTGTACCTGTGAGAATAAATCTATTATTCCTGTGGTTTCTCCTTCTGAAGATATTAGTTTTGTCTCTGACACAGCCTTTCTGTGAGTTTTGGGGAAATTTTGTAAAGGGTGGTATTTCAGAGTATGTCAAATGTAGAAACCCCACCCCCTGCCCAAAATTAAAAAGTCTTTATGGTGATCTGCAAGGCACTTTTCACGAGTTAGAACTTCTGCTGTTAGAGCTCTAATTTGCCCAGTCTTGAGATGCAATTACAGGTGTATGATCATGACTTTATGTTTAAATCTGCAGAGACTAGGTTTGGCAAAACATCCTTTGCCTTAGTTCCCTTAATGTTGTGTGGGCAGGAAGTTTGCTGAATGGTGATCACTTCTTTAGGGCTTCCCAGTGGTGTCAGATAGGAGATAGATTCTGTAACCTTGTTTGTTCTCTTGGACTCTGCTTATTGAAGTTTGAGTACGTTGGTGTATCTTAGCAATATTGTTTCCCATTTTCTCTAGTCCTTAGGGTATTAAAATAGGATAATTCATTTCTTTGCTTAATTATAAAAGAGTAGAAGGAAGATGTTAAGAGCTGGAAGGAACCTTTTAAGCCAGCATGCTACTTTATTTATTCTTGTTGTTGTTGAGATGCTGGAGATTGAAACCAGGACTGCTCACATGCAAAGCATCCACTGTACCTCTGAAGTCACTTTCCCACTCCCTATGCTTCTGTTTGTTATAGTTGGAATTACTGAGGCCTAGACCAGGTGAATTATCAGAAGCTAAATCAGGTAGCTTAGGGAAAAGGAATGACTGGAGACTAGGGTTCCCCTCTTTTTATACTGGCGGCAAAATCCATAAAAATTGTTCTGGCAAAAATCATTAAAAATAAATAACCATTATACAGAAAGGACCCTGTGGAATAAAGACATTTTCCATGCTCTGATTTTTAGCACAAAGGAACAGGGCAGAATCAACTAATATTAGACAACAGTGGATTCATGTGGTTTCCTCCATAACTGTCCTTATGTAAGTTTTTTCCTAGAAAGAAAAGTTCTTCCATGGAGCTTTTGATTACCCACCACCACAAAATCCTCTTAAAATAAAAACAAACCTCAAAATAGTACCCAATAACATTTCCATTCCACTAGTTAGGTAAAAGGAAAAAAGAGAGAAATGGTTGCTGAAAACATTTCGGTTATATCCTGCTGTTTAGAATGGTTCAAAGCATGTCTTTTGTTTTGTGCTTTTAGTTACTAGGGTACATTTATGGGGCTCTGTACCCTGGGAAGATGACTTTTAATGCATTTACATTGGACAATTTTCAGTTGTATACTTTCTTAGACATTTCTTTTAAAAGGTAAGAAAAATGTTGGTAGTTCTCAATTTGTTTTTAAGATGCTCGTTCACTTTTATCTTGGTTAATACTTTAATGACTATGTTCAATTTTTATTTTTTAATTTATAGTTGTTTTGGTACTGAGGATCAAACCCAGGGCTTTGTACGTGTGAAGCATCCCCAGTCACTACACCCTTTTTAAAGTAGAAGACTTATATGCTTAAAGTATCACACATGTGTATGGTCGGACCTTTCTTAAAAAATACATACTGAAAGTGTTCAAATGAGAAGGGGAACAAGGGAGGAGGGAGGGAGAAAGGAAGGAAGCGACAAGAAAAAAAGTGAAAATAGAAGGGAAAAATGGAAACAAAGCTTCTGCACATAGGGAGGAGAGGGGGCTTGAGGGGGAATGGGGTAAAATAAAATAAAATTTATAAAGAAATTCTAAACTACCAATAAAAAATGCATGTTTATTTATTTATTTTGGTATAGGGATTGAACTTGGGACTTTGTGCTTGCGAGGCAGGCAGTGGAACCACTGAGCTAAATCCCCAGCCCCAAAATACATATTTATACATAGGCATAGGCAAGGACTTTCTGAACAGAATACTCAATGCATAGGAAGTAGTACCAAGTACCAACAAATGGGATCATGTCACATTAAAAAGCTTCAGAAAAGCGAAGGAGTCAACCAACAGAGTGAAAAAACCATCTACAGAATGGGGAAAAGTTTTTGCCAGCTATTCTGAGGACAGAGAATTAATATTTAGTATATATAAAGAACTTAAAATAATTAGACTCCCTAAAGTAAAAGACTCAGTCAAGGGCTGGGGATTTAGCTCAGTGGTTTCAGTGCCTGCTGCACAAGCACAAGGACCTGAGTTCGATCCCCAGTACCAAAAAAAAAAAACTCAATCAAGAAATGGGCAACTGAAATGAAGAGATACTTCTGAAATGAACAGAAGAAGAAATGCAAATAGCCAATAAATACACGAAAAAATGTTCAACATTTCTGGCCATTAGAGAAAATGCAAATTACAGCAATAGCAAGATTCCATATTTCTCCAGAAAGAATGCCTGTCATGAAGAAATCAGATAACAACAAACGCTGGAGAGGCTGGCTGGGGGACCATTCTGCACTGTTGTTGGGAATATGAACTAGTATAACAGTTGTGGAAATCAGTGTGGAGATTCCTCAAAAAAAACTCAAACAAGAAATTACATTTGACCCAGCTACTGTATTTCCCTTTAGGTATCTTCCCCAAAGAGGTAAAGACCTCATAATACAGTGCTACATGAATACCCATGTTTATAGCAGCACAATTTACAATAGCTAAATCTTGGAAGTGGCCTATATGTCTATCAACAGATGAGTTGATAAAGAAAATGTGGTATTTATATACTATGGAGTACTACCGGACCATAAAGGATAAACTTGAGTCATTTGTAGGGAAATGGACACACCTTGAAACAATCATGTTAAGTGGAATAAATCAGACACACAAGTTTAAATATAGCATGGTTCTTATATGAGAAACTCAACATGTCAATAAAGTTTAAAATAAAAGATAGAAAATAGGAAATAGTGAGATCTTTTGTATATGGGAGTGAGATCAAGAGATAGAGGGAGAAGGGAGGGAGAGAAAAGGTAATAAAGAAAAAAGTTAAGACGTGTTATGTATATGTAAACTCCCTATGAGGAATGTGATTATTATTTACCACAAACATGTACTAATAAAATATAAATAATAAAATAATACATATATATTTATAGTTAATTGTTTAGTATAACACAAAATTTATTGATATAGGAGTGCTAAGATTAGAGAAGTTGAAAGACTTTCTTAGGAAGAATTATAAGAGAGACTAAACTCAGCTAACTGAATTCTGAGTTCAGTGTTCTTTTTACTCAGTTACATTTCATTTTTTAAATACATAGAAGGTTGAAAATAATGGATGTAAGTATTTAGATTCTCAGGGGTTGGTAATCTCGTGTACTGTAACCTCAGGAAGCCCTGAGCTATTACTGTGCCTCTTACGCGTTTATGAGAGTTCAATACTGTGCTATTCATATTTTTGGAGGAGAAAGGTTTACTTCTTTGGATTCATAAAAGTTTGTTATTTCCACCTGCATTTTAAACTTTTATTAATAGGACATTAATCCTGAAAAAGGAAACTGGTTTGTTTTTTCCATCAAAAAACAAGAAACATTCTATAAGCTTAAGTATATTGCTGTGACTATCTTACAATATTGTGGATGTTTGCAAGTAAAATTACTTTGTTGATGAGTGGCTTTTGTCTAATGGGAATTCTTGCATTCTTAAGTATTCCAAAACATTCTCCTTTTTTCTTCCCATTAAAAAGCATGGGTTTTTGAGCCTCTAAATTGGTTTTTTTGTGTGTGTGTGTTTTTTTTTTTTTGGTACCAGGGATTGAACTCGGGTCCTTGCACTTGCAGGGCAGGCGCCAGAACCACTGAGCTAAATCCCTGGCCCTTTGTTTTT